GGCAAGCGAGTATTTTGTACTTCAATTTTATGGCTTTCCGTCACTCACAAGTTGGTTTGATGTTACGTACATTATTAACATTACAGAATCCACATATTCCTGCCAGTTTTAATATCTATTTTGTAATCAACAAGTGTGTAACCCTGGTCAAAGTTTGACACTTCTCTGGCCATTATCTCCGTAACCGTTCAACTTTGGACATAGGTGTTTTGGGTTATATCGGCATACTTTAACATAAGGAACACCGTCCCGAAGTTTGGCACATTCCTCCTGGGACACCCTGTATATGGCAGTAGATTTTTGAAAGTGGTGGTTGAAACATTCTAATATAGGATAGGAGTGGGCTGAATAGAATAAGTTTTGAGTCTTATTTATTGTTCTGCTGTTACAAAGATAGAAAATAAGTAACTTTGTCTGAAACACATGTAAGAGTATGACATACATTGAGGAAACAGTCTTAAAGAAGAAGGCTTCTGTGTGGTCGACAGGATCTGGGTCATGGCAGTTTTGGTTCCCATTATACATTGAGAATAGAATCTCATAACCTCTAATGATGATGTTATGTAGGACTGTCTCATGCTGATGCACCCTCAAAGATGTTTCAGACACAGTGATACTCACTAGTTTCTGTAATGATTTGTCTGTATGCTGAAAGGTGGTTTTGTTTCATTGCTGTCCAGCCTAGCTTTCACGTACAATACAAAACATGAACAGTTTTTAATCATTTCAGATCTCATTTAAGGCTCATTGTGCCACTCAGGAAGTTATGTTCCATCCTGGCAGCATTTGTCATCTCAAAATAAATTTAAATTGGATCCACAGAACATCTCAGTTGAATACATAGCTCTCCTGATGTGTATGTAGTAGGGCCTGGGTTCAGATGTTTGAACAGAGACTGGCTGCCCTGAGATTTTGTTGTCTTTTCTCAGTCCCTACACAGAAATTCTGGGATAGTATCTCAACAGAAAAATTAAAGAAAAGCCTGTCTTACAGACTGGGTGTACCCTGACAAAGCTATGTGCTGTGGTCTGTGACAGCCTGAGATAACCCAGGTACAGTGCGCACAGGGTTAAGAACTCAACTTCAGATGTTAAGGTTAGGGAACAGAGGTGCTACATTGTTCTTTTATCATACATCCCATTTAATTGCATGAAGATGTTCTTGGGTAATCAGTGATCTCAGCGTTCAGTTAAAACATTGTAAGAGACCCAGCCTGTGTCCATCGTCAGCGTTGATGGCAAGGGGGACACAGCCAGTCTCAGAAACATTGGCTTATTATTATTATTATTATTATTATTATTGTTATTGTTATTGGAGGGGGTGGGTTTCCCCATGCACCGCGACCAGTGGTCTATTGTACGTCCCCCTGTGATATTCTACCAGTCTCTATACCCTACCGATACTGGTGCGTACCATCAGTCCTGACTCAGCCAGCGAGTTTGGCCTCTACTGGCTCAGCGGTATCTAGATGCTTCCCCCATCTACCAGAGGTGTTAGAGACTATTGTTGGGTGGGAAATGTCCTTAATAATTTTGCTCAGAGGCCTCCTTGAGGCATGAGGTTCTTTTACATGCCGTAAAGCTACGACACAGGACCCACGGCTTAAAGTCCCTCCCGGAGGACTTGTTCCCTGAATTTTTCCGCCCTTAAAAATTCCACGACCTCTGCCGGGTTTGAACCCGCGTACCTTCAGTCATGAGGTGGGAACGTTACCCCTAGACTACGGAGGCCACTCAAACATTGGCTTACTACTCAGCTTTGAATTAGTTGATCACCCAAGAAGAGATCAATGCAAATAATTTATATATTGTTCTTTAGTATGTTTTGACTGAGGCTAAAAACACTGGCCACTGCTCTTGATAACCTGTGGTGTGAAAGTATTTCTAGAAACTTGCCTGTAGTGATCCCTGCTTTATCTGATTATTCTGATGAAAGCTGTGAGACTTAACTTTTCTGTTTTGAAGCTAAACAGATGACTTTATTGCAGGTGAAGAAACGGAAGTGACAGGCTCGCATTCTCCGACTGCCTACTCATCATGGAGCTCCAAGTACAACAAAGGAGGGGGCTCTCCGATTCTCACTCCTCGCCGCTCCAGCCTTGCTTATTCCACATCTGGCATACAAGGTCCAGAAGTCTTAAATAATAAGATGATCTCTTCATAACTTAGAACTACAGTAAACTGTCATCTGCTACAGGGGCTAGGTTCCTTCAGACTGGTGTGGTAGTTAAATCTGCATTGGACAAGCTTAATATTGTCACATATTATTGACTAGACAGGGTTTGGATTGGTAATTGGATTTATTGAACACTTGCAGATCATAACTACAACTAATTCTAGTTCCAACACTAATTTACACACTCTGCAGTTCACTACAGCACACCCTTAAAGTCTTCTCAGCTTGCTGTGCCTTCACCAGTCTTCTGGTAACAGCTTCCAGTGGCAGATGTTCCCCTTTCTCTGGGTTCCTGAATTGTTCCCGGCCTCAGCTACCAGCTTCTCACAGCAGCAACAGCAGCTCACAAGGACTGAACTGCAGCAGTCCTCTAATTAACACCCATTCACTCACTTACTCACTCACCAACCAACCAACCAACTCACTCACTCACTTACAGGCTGGCATCCATCTCACACCAACCTCCTACTCTTCTAATGGCGTCTGGCCCTCGTTATATAGCCTCGGCACGTCCCACGCAGAACGCCACCCCCAGCAGCCGTTCCATTATTGTGTACATATCCACTGCAGCCATTACCCAGCAACAGTCATTCACAGAGCCATTACCTAAGCAATGGCTGTTGTATGGTTGCTAATTTCATGGTTGTTTACCAACAGGTCTGCAACAATGTCTTACGGGTAAATGGTATATGTGAATTTGATCACACAGTGTCTCCCATTGATATACAGATATGTAGATCTTCTTACACGAACACACAACTGAATGGCTATATGTAGATCTTCTTACACGCGCACACAACTGAATGGCTGTATCTGAATTTTTAGCGTAATTTCCTTATTTTGAAAAAAATAAAAGGAAATTTATGAGATTGCCTTGTTGTTTGTGTCCCTGTTGTGTTCTGTTTATATAACTTTGGAATAGACCACAGAGGAAACACCACCTCCAACAGTTGGACATGTTAATTTCTGTGAGGTCCACATCGTTTTGAAGGAAAGCAGGCAATTAGTTCTTCCCAGAACATGTTATATGTGAAATAAAGACATAATTAAACCATAAGCATTATGGCATTTATGTGAGGTAAATTAATAGCCAAAAAATATGAAACAATGGCAAAACCAATCACACACAACTTCACTCAGCTTGACGCCATAGCAGCATGAACAAGACTGAGACAATATTTGATGTGGGAGTGTCAGAGAAAATACTAGGTTTGCATTTTGTTGTGTAACGGTACTAAAGTGCATATGGCATACTGTGTATATTCAGAGTTTCCACATTTGGCAAATAATTGTTTACTATTGTTTTTGATATGTATGATGGGAACTCATAAAGTTTTAATGATCACCATGAAAAAATCATAATTCCAAAATATCCTTCTATATAGGAGATAGCCCATTTCTTGAGCTTGCTGAACAGTCAAAATTTTCCTGTGCCAAGTGGACAGAGGGACCCACCAGAAGGGGCAGAAGCAAAATGGCAACGTCAGTTGAGGAAGTGGAGGCTCGTGCTGTGATACAGTTTCTGCATTCGCAAGGGAAGTCTGCCAGGAAGACCCACAACTAGATGACCACTGTGTATCAGGAAGGTGTACCATCATATGACACAGCGGTCACGTAGAAGAGGCACTTTCACTGTGGACAGACAAACCTTGAAGATGAACCCTGAAGTGGAAGACCATCTTTCACTGAGGAGCTGGGAATTGTGGCACAGGTGGAAAGCTTTGCTCCTATCTGATAGGTGCATAACTATTAAAGCTATTGTTCATGAGGTCCACATTAGCCATGGGTTGGTTTTCAGCATCATTCATGACAAAGGTCGCTGCGCATTGAGTGCCACGATTGTTGACACCAGTTCAATAACAGTAACGGATGAATGTGGCAAAGAAACTTTTGCAGTTGTGTCAAGACAAGAAGACGGAATTTTTCAATGCCTGATCATGATGGATGAATGTTGGGTCTATCATTATGACCCTGAAATAAAGGAAATGAGCAAGCAGTAGAAACATGCAGACTCGCCACCACCAAAGGTAAAATCCCAGCCGTTGTCACGGAAGGTGACGTTGAGCATGTTCTGGGATTGGCGGGATGTCATCATGACCGACTATGCGCAAAAGGGCGTCACCATCACAAGCAAGTACTACTGCAACTTTCTGAGAAAATTATGAGATACAATCAAGAAAAAGTGCCGCAGAATGCTGGGAAAAGGTGTGTCACTTTTTCACAACAACACACCAACTCATGCTGCTCATGCTATGACGACACTTGCTGAGAGTTTGGGATATGAAATTCTCCCCCATCCACTATATTCACCAGACCTGGCACCGAGCAGTTCTTCCGCCTTCCATAGCTAAAGTAGCCACTTCATGGTAAGCGATTCCAAGATGATGAAGACGTCATTTCTGCAGTGGAGGACTTCCTAAACCATCAAAATGAGACCTTCTGTGATCAAGGTATCCAGCAGTTAATGCATGGTTGGGGAAAATGTGCGGGCTTGCAGGGGGCATATGTAGAGAAGGGCTGGCTCACACACATTCTCTTGCACCCGTGTCTCTGTTTCTTCTGGATGATAATTAGAATTTTATGGCTTCCCCACATATATCCATGTTGACAAGGGTTTACTGTATTGTTTTTGCTTTATTTAACTTTATACAAATTTAAATTGTCACTTCACTGGTCCATGTTTTTACATGTATATACAGTAAAACTTGGTTATAGCAACATCGGTTTCTGCGACACCTTGTCTTTTGCGTCAAATATTCAGTTGTACGAACTAATTCCTCATAAAGCAACTGTTTTTATACCTTGCTTAGTACGACATGCACAAATGCATCAACCTCGTATGTAACGTCATTTTCATTCCTGAATTTCTCTGATATGGACATTGAACGTAATTTAGAAAGTGTGTATTGGGCAAGTAACAGGAAACAGATGAAGATAACTGATTACTGTACTCGTATCTAGGTACAGTAAGGCACAACAATTGATGTAATCTACTGTAATTTGGTGAGTAGGCCTACCTTTAATATACAGTATTAGTGCGGTGTGTATTGTCAGTGAAAAGCGCTGTAATATGTCTTTGATATTACACATTTGGGCAATTCCACGTTAATGTTACGTTAGTCTGTACTTAACTACGTATTTCACTAAAAAATGCAAATTTATCTCGGTTTTTGGTAGATTTTTACGTGACTAACATAGGGCTACTGTGGAAGTGCCCATTTCGGTTACGACATTCGTTTATAACGACACTATTTTTAGGTCCCTTTGATGACGTTATAACCAAGTTCTACTGTAGATTGCTATAGAAGCATGAGGAGCTAGACATTTTCTGAATGTGTGTGTAGATGCTGGCGCTCCTCTTGGCTTCGAGCCAGAGGGCAGCTGCAATTCAGCATTCATGGAAGTCGGTGGTGGGTCCCACTCACCACCTCCTTACCTACGCTGGGCACGCAACCTACACAGCCTACTCGAGGACCCAGATGGTGTAGAACTATTCAGGCGGTACCTGGAGCAAGAGGGACAACCACATGCTGACACTCTAGATTTCTGGTTTGCTTGTGAGGGACTCAAGAAACAACAGGACCCTGACAAGATCAACCAGCTAGTGAAGGTTATCTACAGGTGAGCATGAACCAGTCAGTCAGAGCTCATTCCAGTGTTTCTGCATCAGCTGAAATCCTGAATTATGTAATTTCAGAAAATGGTGAATAGTATTTCCAAACACAAGAGAGAATGGCACATTTTATAGTCTGGGAAGTGTGGTGTTCGCTCACTCATGGAGCTGAGCCCTTCTTGACAAGCCGCCAATTGTGCAGCTACTTAAGAATTTCTTAGCATTTCATGGAACCCAAAGGTTCAGTACCATGTTTACAAGAGCCCTCCACTGGTCCCTGTCCTGAGCCAGATAAAGCCAATCTGTACTATTTAGTCTGATGTTCACATTTGAGAAATATCAAACTTTGGGAGCAGGGATAGTAAGTTGGTATAGTGACGGGCTACAGGCTGGATGGCCAGGGTTCAATTCCTGGCAGGGGTAAAAGATTTTTCTCTATTCCACAGCATTCAGATTGGCTCTGGGGCCCAATGGGTACTGGGGGCTCTTTCCCCAGGGGTGAAGTAGCAGATGTGTGAAGCTGATCCCTCAAATTCATCTAGTGCCGAGGTCAAGAATGGTGGAATTATACCTTCAGTCCCTAATACATCTTTATGGTGTGGTGCTTAATTAATTAAGCACAGGGACAACTTTACATTTTTATCTCCTGTTTTATAGAGAGGATAAGCTGTACTGTGCTTTCCATCAGTTGCAGAACTTGAAACTTTTTAGTCTAGAATTTGCTCAGGAGCTGAGTTTCAGATGCAACATGAACAGATTTAAACTGTTTACTTTGTAGCTTTTCACAACCTATATTTAATGTGTGGTCCCTGCTTTTCGGGTGTTGGGGCATTGTGTTTTCAGTTTGTTTCTGTATTTTGCATACATTGTAGTCATCATGCGCTACACTCCCACTGTGAGACGTGTGTATCAAGTCACGTTCTTCCACATTGTTCACTGTGCACTGCATGCCAAATTATTGGAACAGTGCACAGCTTCAGCACCCAGCACTTGTGAGTTCATCCAGTTTATATGTTTATTTTCAGACGCTTCTTTTTAAAAACACAGCTAGCAATTCCAGATGAGCTTCGCAAGGAGGTGAATCGTCACATAAAGGAGGGCAAGGACCTACTGGCTGGCAACGTGTTTGATGGCGTACAGGCCGAAGTGGAGAATCTCATCAACGAGACCACATACCCCAACTTCCTGAAATCAGACATGTACCTGCAGCACGTTCAGGTCATGCAGAACGGTGAACTGTCACTTGTGTCCACCAGCAGCAGCAGCAGCAGCAGCAGCAGTGGCAGTAGTTCTGGTGGTGGCAGAGATTTGTCGCACGGCGGTCCGCCCTTACCTACACTCTATGAAGACATAGAGTTTGTGGCAGAGATGGGAAACTCAGGTTGCAGCAAACTCCCGGTCATTGGACATGACGTTCTCCCACTCACGAGGGACATGCTTATTGCAACACAGAAGAAACGAGCATCTGAGCTGAGGCCGAAACCTGAGGCATATGTGCGGTATGTGGCATGCAGTTGTTTCTTCTTTCATTAGTGTGTCTAGTGCTTCAAATTGGTATGAGGGTTTACCTGCTCCATTCAAAGGAACCACAAGTTCTGAGCCCTGAAGATGCTGATAGACACATAGGTACTTATTGTCACTGTCATTCCTGGGATGCATGAATAAGATTTTCAGACACTCTGGAAAGCTCAGTAAAGAGCAGACTGAGGTTGCACTGCAGTACAGGTATCCCCCAACTTATATGGTAGTTCCATCTCCAAGGGTGGTTGCACAAGTTAGAATTACCTTTAAATCACATTGAAATTTACAAAATTCACTTAACTGTAATATCATTTGTAAAAGTGATTCACACATTGTTTTTATTTTTTAGTCTACACTCAAAAGTAAAACGCTGTTCCCATGAAGTTTGCCCAAATTAGAATCACACAGTTTGGGGTATTTATTATTATTATTATTATTATTATTATTATTATTATTATTATTATTATTATTATTGGAGGGGGTGGGTTTCCCCATGCACCGTGACTAATAGTGTACTGTACGTCCCCCTTTGATATTCTACCAGTCGCCATACCCTTCCGGTACTGGTGCTCATTATGAGCCCTGTTCAGCCAGCGAAGCTGGCAGTGGTTCCCGATACTTCCCCATCTACCGGAGGCATTGGAAACTACTTGGGCGGGAAACTTTGCCTAATTTTGCTCAGAGGTCTCCTAGAGACATGAGGATCTTTTACGTGCCGTGAATCTACGACATGGGACCCATGGCTTAAAGTCCCTCCTGGAGGACTTGTTCCCTGAATTTTTCCGCCCTTAAAAATTCCACGACCTCCACCGGGTTTGAACCCGCGTACCTTGAGTCATGAGGTGGGAACGTTACCCCTAGGCTACGGAGGCAGCTTCAGTTTGGGGGTATAGTTTACATCTGGAAAAGCATCCTCATGTGTGTTTTATATTTCACCCCCTTTCAAGTAGAGGCAGTCCTCACTCTTATGAATGGTAACTTCCTTGAAGAGTTTGTAAAGCAAAATTTGCTAACAAGAACCACCATTTTTCATAAGCACAAAATTAGAATTGAGGGTTACACTTCCAAAAGGCCAAACAAATAATTATCATCAGTTTTACTGCCGGAAATGGAACATGTAATCATCAGAAACCTATTAGACTGTTCTGTAACAGTTGGTAGGAGAACCGTGTGCTGTAAGAAATATCAATGAAAACTTAGAAAATAGCAAAATCTTGTACAAGATGCGCACCCGAGCAGAGTGTAAAGTGAACTGACAGGGCTGCATTTTCATTGCATGCTCTTTTTTGTTCAAAAGGGATCTCAAATGGTTGAGTTCGTGTTCAACTTATATGTGAAGCTGGGGTTATGTGTGGTATGCACATTTGTATGAGCAAAATTTCATGATGTGAATCTTCATATCATAAGGCCCTTTTGTATTGAGTGGATGATATGACTTAATATTTGTACTGGCCGATGTTATGTCAGAGTAAGTTGGAAAGCAGAGGGAAGGAAGAGCACATATCAGATGTGAAGCCTTTGAGACAAATCATCATATTGTCACATGATGGTGTGTCTGTAGACAGGGTTTGGATCGGTAATATGATTTATTGGACACTTACAGAATTGAACTACAAATAACTGTGACAGTCTCACTCAGTTACTCACTCAAAACATTATTGTAGCTACAGCACACACAAAATCTTCTCAGTATTCATTAGTTGTTGCTTGGTAGCGGTTGAAAATGGTGGATGTTCCCCAGTCTCTGGGTTCCCTTACTGCCCCCCGTCTCAGCTACCAGCTTCTCGCTTCTCACAACTGCAAATCTCAAGTGACTCAACCGTGGATGTCCCTCTGCTTCTGGCTTCATGTCCTCGCAGGCTGGTGGCCATCTCACACAAATGTCGTACTCTTCTAATTGCTGTCTCAAGACTGTCTCATAATGGCAGCTGGGACCATTATGTGGCCCCGGCATGTACCACACAGAAAACGTCCCTTCCATTATTGCATGTTCTCTTGTTGCCACGGAAACATGTCCACAGAGTTGTTTGGCTGTTGTATTGTCACCTGTTTACACAGCTGTTCCTTGGCAGTGGGTCTACATGTCAGAATAACAACAGGAGGAAATTTCTAAATGAAATCCTGTGTAGCTATAATGTTACATATTATTTAAGAGCATCATGTCAGCTGTAAGGTAGTATTTTTGTTGTGAGAGTGATTATTAATAGTGAGTCCAAAGGTGTGGGTGTAGTGTTCATTTCTTATTCAGTGATACTGTCACAGTTTTTAGGTAAACCCAACACACCAATTCGAAGGCACTGACACAATGTTGAAGCATGTCTTGATGAAGAGCTTGGTTATTATATCATCCAATACAAGAGGAGATGCTTTACTCAGCAACCATGACTGATTAATGCTTATTTGGTTGTTGCGGAACTTATAATTTCTTAGCTTGGTATCATTTTAAAGTTCTGGTCAGATTTAAGTTTGAATTTGCTTTTCTTGATTAATGCCCTAACTGTTTTTATTTAGCTTTGTTCAGGGCCGTAGACAAAATATTCTGCCTGAGAAAGAGAGAGTGCAGAATTGCATCTGTATTTAAATCTAGATGTAGAACAGCAACATAATGAAGTTAACCACGTTGTGACAAAACTTCACCGACAAGCAGCAATCACTCGGTCAGTATAGTTTGCTTGCGGACTACAGCCACAGTTTGTTGTTTGTTGTGACAAAATTAGTGTTTTTGAAAAAAAAAAATAACTGTGAATGTGAACAGCTCCATAGATTCTGTAGATGAGTGTGAATATAAAGTTGTCGCAGTTCTTGAGTAAAGATGTCTGAGGGAGTTGAGGTAACGTTCCATGCATTTTTAACCTTGGCGCTAGGTAGAGGAGTCACACATGATAATGTAGTCAGTTGAGGCACACTGTTACAAGCCAGAAGGTCATGGGTTCGATTCCCAATGAGGTCATTGGATTTTTCAGTTGACCTAATCCTTCTAGCGGCACTATGGCCTCTTTGGAAAGTACCACCTAAAAGGACACCTTTTCAAACTGGGATTGACAGATGACCCATCCTGTGAAAGGTACCTACAAGAAGACGAATCAGCCACACATATCCTATGTGATTTTGTGGCCATAGTTTATTTAAGATTTTGTCACCTGCGCCACTTCTTTATGGAAGCAAGTGACCCCCAAAATAAAGTCCTACATTTCATTTGAAGTGTACGATTAATAAGTGGTTAATCCAAAGGGGAATGCTGTGTAGTCTGGTAGATGTTTACTGACATTTCAGAGGAACCTACTGCCACTATCTCTATGGTCAGAGAGTAAGCTTGCTGCTTGCTTCACATACTCTTTGACACTAGAAAGCAGTACATTCCTCCAAAAGACATGTATTCTTCTATGAGATTAAATGGCATCACATCCCCAAAGCAGTACTCATCATGCTCAGTGCTGTGAGGACTGCAAGTCTCACAAATCAAGATCTGTTTTGCAATGATGCTGTATTTTGTATGGCTAATTTAGAATTTTGCCTGCGGCCATGGCTTCTGTTATGTTTTGTTTCGTTTGTTTTGGCTAGGATGTGCTTGCAGCATGCTCATTTCCACTTTGCCCTCACCCCTCACCCCCACATGGCCTACTCCTCATATAACCCAGTGTCGCGCCAGGATAGTGAACTCCAGTCACTCAGCTCTGAAGCTCGGACAGAGTCAGACAACATGTCACTCAAGGACAGCTCTGTGTAAGTATAGCTTTGTGCTTTTACTGTTCTGTAGTAGGAGTTACTTGTGATGACATACATTGAATATACAGTGAATCCATATTTAATCAGTTTCTGGCGGGAATGGTTTTTCTTACACTAATTTGAGGTTTTCCCTAAAGGGAGATGGTGCAAAATTTCACCAAGAAATGTGCTCATCTCCTTATACAACTTAACGTCTACAGTTATGATAAAATAATTTCCTTACCTAAATATTAACTGGTCAACTAATGATTGCCCCTGGCTGGTGAGACATTACAGTTCTGTTGATGCAATGGGTAGTCATATATTGACTCATGGTAAAGGAAACTCTTTTCTCATGAATAAATGCAATTACATTATCAGTAATATTTACTTTCTGAAGTGATTAAAGACTTTGAAACAGACTCTATAAGAACATCAGTCAAGAATGAAACTAACTGTGATGGGTGACAGGTGGCATGGTTTTATTTTATGTTCAGTATGTGACATCACTCACCAGTGATAATAGCTATGCAGTAACAGTTTCTGGTAGACAGAATCACACTAAGTTGTCAAGGTATGAATTGTGGAATGTTGAAAATTTCCTAAACTAAGTGAAAGTTATTTTACTAAATTGAAACTTATGAAATATAAAGACATTTTTCAAAATGGAGGATCTCACTAAATAAGAGAACATTAAATCAGGATTTCACTGTAAGAAACTTACAGTTATTCAAACCTAAATGTAGGGGAAACCCATTTTTTTCCCCTGTGTAATGCTTAGTCAGAAGTGGTTCTGAAATTCTGTGATCTGTCTTCGTTGCATGGTATGGTTTGTATAATTACGTCAAGAATGATTTCTTTTGGTACACATGTGAAGAATGGGAAATATGGTACTGTGGAGAGAAATCTGTTCAGATGATATTAAAATTGATTATACAGCAGAACATTTGGTGAAGTAGATGGGGTTCAGAATCTAATTTTGTTCTTCCATAATGCCAGGAGGGGTGAGAATGAGAAGTTAGAACTCTAGATGATCCCCAGAACTTTTCATCTCTCTGAAGTGAGAACTTGAATGGATAGAAATTACTTTGATTTACCCTATATGTGAACCCATATGCTGTCATGGTATGGGCCACAGTCATCAGTTTTATACCAGATGTGAAGCATTGTATGGAGAGATTTCTGCCAGCATCTCTGAATGATGTAATACTGTATGATCTAGTAATTGCGTAGACTGCTGGTGACATCTAAAGACCAGTGAATGTACTTAATATTGATTACAGTTAACAGTCACTTTGCTAAGTAGTTTCATAGGGCAGGCTACCTGAAGGGAGGAAGAATACAAATTTGTTATGCCTCATGCATAGTCTCAGTTCTCAAACCCCCAAGTTCAATGCCCATGACAGTGAAAGGTGTTGCAGTAATGCGTTAAAGGTTGCACATTTTGTGCCTGTCTTAAAGTTAGAGAATGCATTTGCATATTAAGAGGTGACCCAGGTAACTTTAATACATCACCACACTAACGCTGCCAACCATAGAAGTTTGATTCTAAAAACGAAACCACAATTCCAACCATTTCAAAACGGAACAAAAGGTCTGGCCATTTAAAACCCATTTGGCTAATGTACCCCTTACCCTGGCATAGTAAAACTCTGCATTTTGCCCACACAATGTGTTTATGTGTTTCCTGTGGTTCTCACAAAAAACAGAAACATTTCCCTGAACATCATTAACCATCTGTTCTTTGTAGTGGAGACGTAAAATGTTTCCTGTATGGTACAAAGCTCAATTTATATATATTATATAGAAGAAATTCAGTCTTTAAAGGGTTAAAAACAAAAGCAAAAACCTAACCAAATGGACTTACTGGGTGCAAGTTATAAGCTTAGGCTTTTATTCTTGTTTTGACAAATGAACTTGTAAGGTTGGCAGTACTTATGTGGTGCATGTCATGGTGGTGAAGTTTTAAAGTTACTTGGGTAACATTCCTGTGCTTAATTAATTAAGCACCATACCATGAAGATTTATGGGGGAGTGTAGGTATAGCTCTACCTTTGTTGACCTTGACACTTGATGGAGGTGAGTGGTCAGCTTCACACCCAAGTTGCTTCACCCCTGAGGAAAGAGTTCCTGGCACCTGTTGGATAGGAGGCTGGGTGGGCCCCAGATCTGGTCTTAATGCTGTGGAGTAGAGAAAAATCTCTTCCCCTACCGGAAAGCAAACCTTCTCCATTCAGCCTGTAAACTGTTGCTGTACCAACAGAGCTATCCTGGGCCCTTTTCAGGTTACTGAATTTAATTGTTTTTGATGAAATTTTGTAACAAATTTTTACATGATTTATGCTAGTTCACGCTATGTGTGAATAATAACCTTTCACCTTTTAACGGGTAAGTACCATACAGAATCTTAATGAAATGTCTTTATGTTCATCACAGATCAGCTATAATGATTCAATATTTCAACATTGTTGATAATGAAAGAGTCATTTTGCATCTCTGTAGACATATGAAATGGGTGTCCTGAAGAGAATTATTATCATCATCTGGGTTGAGCTTCCATGTAGTCTGGTAGACGTCAGTTTGAAAAGGTTCTGATGACTGTATTACACTGGATATCTGAGTTTCTAGGCTTTGCCCATTGCCTGGTGTTATAAAAACACAGGGTTCCAGTTACTGGATCCAGTTTCATCCTTAGATGAGAATGTGAGGTGGAATCTTCTCAGTTGGGTCTTTTAGAAAGAGCTAATTTAACTCTTTGAACATATCGGCTCTTTCCAATGGAAGAGACTGTTTAGGTGTGTTCCCACATCTCCATCTCAGGACAGAAACAGATTCAGTTCCCAAGCTTCACACTCTTTTTGGAATGCTAAATGCTCTAAAAAGTTGAAAAATAATCCCAGTAGCAAGAAGAGCAGTCTTCTTAATACATCCCTAACATTGTAAACTTCCATCAGACTACACAGCGTCACATCCAAAAAAGCCCTGTTCATAGTCACTGCAGTAAGAGACTCAGATATTATGATTGTGCTGTTTCAGGGATGGAATGTCTGTGAGTCACAGTCATTGCACCAACAAAAAGCAGTACCAACATGACAGCAAGCGGATGAAGGAAAGTGCCAGAATGAACAGGGACCCTTACATGCACCATACGATGATCCCACGTACCCAACGCATTCAGAAAGAGCAGGCAAGTGTGAAACTTGAACCTTGTGTTGTTTGCAGGGTAAGGTGTAAGTGTTCAATGTTGCAGTGATCGATACGGCTCAATTCCCTTGCAAACTCAGTAATGAATCTTCAAGTTCTAGAAGAGATAGTGACTTTCTTTGAATACTGTTAAGATTTTCAAGAAGGATTCTGCTGCATTGAGTTAGTTTATTATTTAATCCTTTGCACGCTACAAGCTGAGTAGGCCTGCTTGGAATATTTGCATTAAAATTTTTTTTATTGCTAGTGGGGTGGGACTAAGTCCCTTGTACTGCGGCCACTTCTGGCCTATTGTACCAGCCCCAGATGATAGGTGAGGGTGATTGTGAAGCAATTGGTGGAATGAAGATTGGCAGGGGAAACAAAAGTACTCAGAGAAAACCTGCCCCAGCGCCACTTTGTCCACCACAAATCCCACTTGACCAAATCCGGGCTGTCGCAGTGGGAAACCAGGAACTCACCGCTTGAGCTATGGCACGGCCATGCATTAAAATAGTGCAGGTGAAGATCATCGGCTTCTCTTAATTGCTTAGTACACTAGGTATGATATGCTGATGTTTAGTGGAAACAACAGGATTTCATGGGATCTACATCTGTGATCATTTGAAGGTAATGTGAGAAAGCAGAGTGGTTTTATCCAAGGAACTGCATTTACCCCAGAGCAGTCGTGGAATTTATGTCAGGGAGGTATATAGTGGAGCTTGGCAGTCATGGGGTTGGATGAACGAGGTAATAAACGTTTGGATTCTGTGAAACAAGGGAATTTCTCGACTGTCAGCCTCTCAAGGACTCTGTTCCATACGGTTTGTTTATTTTAGTGGTGGGATTTAGTGAACAGAGTTATGAACTTTCAGGTTACATATAATGAATGTATGAGGGGTAGGCCTTGTTGGCCCTTGCACCACGACCTACAGTGGCCTATTGTGCTTTGGTTACATATAAGTTAGCAGTTTTTTTTAGCAGCTGTCATCTTCTTGAGGACTCTCCTTCATTTCATAGAATCTAATTAATTAATGCACATCATTCTGTTAGGCTCAGTAGACATAATTTTGTTCATACAGTATTTTGGTTCTTGTTTTCACTTTCCCTCTGTTCCCCCAGAGAATTGTATTGATGGAGTGGAACCATGTGGTCATGTGGAGGTCATACATTGAAATGTCAGCCTTGAGAGCTGCCCTGAATGTTATCATTGTTTTCTACGCTTACTGGGATAGTATTGTCATGATTTAGGAGTGTCACTATAGATGGTGTGTGGATTGGTGAATGCATTTATTGTCCACTTGTACACATGACTAGGAACTACAACCAGTTACAGCACTATGACTGATTTCCACATTTCACAAATCACTGCACGCCAAGTCTTTGTCCAGCCTTTTGTAGTCTTCCCCAGTCATTGCTTGGTAACGGCTCTCAACAGTGGAGATTTTTCAGCTTTTGTGCTTGCTCCATTGCCCACTGGCTAATTCTACTCGCGACTGAACTCATTGCTCCAACACTCCTAGTTATAACATCTTGGCACGAATCACCTAGAAAACACTGTTCTCCTGTTGTGTTTATGTTCTTTGCCATGAGAATGTGTTTACCAAGCTGTTGCCTAGAAAAGGCCATGGCACATAACACAGAAAACAGCTATCTTCTGTTGTTGTGTGCATTACCTAACAATGGGCGCTGTTTATAGAGTCACTGTTTAGCAACGGGTCTGTACGCTACAATATCTTAGGGTATACTGTGACCGCATTTGTTAGAATTTACTAATAGTTAATCAGTCTACCACTTGGCACTATATAGTCTCAGCATTGAAACTGTTATTAAATTATTGTACTGACCATGCAGGTTCATCCTATGAAGCCAGACCAATTTGCTGCCATCCTGATAGAGAAGTTGGAATGGATCAGGCGTGAACAGGAGGCTCAAGAGAAGCTGGACCGCAAACTGCAGGAGGTAGGTAGGAGTATACGCAGCAGGTGGTTCACAAAAAAGTTTGTGTGACAAGAGGACAGTCTGAAGTACCAGGTAGAATATTTGGTCACGGTTTTCACTTCTTATTTTCTGGCTCACATGCAGACTTGTGTTAAAATCTTGAAATTCAGGTTTTTTTAATTTTAAAATTATTTTTCACATCACTGGTGCACTGCATGTTTTGGCCAATATGGCCATCAGGTGCTTTGAAAATTTATGTTGGAAACTGCTGCACTTTCATCAGTAAATACAATTCCATTGTATACCCTCATTTATTTTCCCATGTGTTGTTGTACATTTATAGTACTAAGTGATTCCTCTTACCTGTTGTGTGCAGCTGTTACCTGCATATCTGTTATCTGTATACAGCATAATCCAGTCAGGCATAGCTTGGCTGCTTCAATGTGATCTCTTGTGCAGTCATCCTGAAATACGATTTTTGTGCCCCTGTGGCTCAGTATAGTGACTAGGCTGTAGAATGGATGACCGGAGAACTTGGGTTTAATTCTCAGTGGGGGTGATAGAGTTTGTCATCCCAGCCTCTTGTACTATGGGCAGTGAGAGCAAAGCAGCAAGGCATGAAGATGGGCACTCATTTCTATGAGATGTCAAAGTTAAGTATGAAAGAAACTGTACCTCAACTGCTCCATGTGTCCTGATGGCGTGGTGCTTAATTAAGCAAGGGGAACGCTTTACCTACAGCTGTATTTTAAGTGTGAATAATTGTGTCTGATGAAAGTGGAGTAAAACAGGAGCTTGTTATGTTTGAGTACTGTGGATAAAGTGGAAATTGTAAGATTTGAGGCTTTCACGGCGGTGACTATGAAGAAAGCAGTCTTCTGGGATTTGGCACCGTGTATATGTGGTGTTAACCGACGTTTCGGAGGAACGTATCGCCCCCATCTTCAGGGTAGAAGAAAAAGTATAAGAAATCTGCAAGCGACAACACCGTGAGAAACGGTAAAGCAGACTGTGGAAATATACACAGCTATGTGAGAGCAGAGAGGGAAGGGGGGAAGGGCAAGTAAACAAGTGAAAGCAGTGGTGTGGGAGGGGTAGGGGAAGGGAGCTGGGACAAGCATGGTTTTGTGTAGGGGAGAGAATAGCAAG